AAAATATATAAAAAGTAAATTATAATAATATCCGTTTAATTACCTCTTTTAACGTAGTTATAATAATTTATTATTACTATAAACTATTTTTTATTAGCTCCGTTTTTTCTAAATACTAAGCTATATTAGCCGTTTATTTATATAATTCCCTATTATCCTCCTCTTATTAAGAATACTAAACTAGCTCCTTATTTATTATTAAAATAAGCTCGATATTTAGTTTTAACTTAGCTAACTTATCTTTTTTATAAGCTTAGTTAGTATTAATTTATTCTTATTTTTAAATAAGCGGCCTCGCTTTTTATTACTTATACCTTAGCTATTATAAGTAATACGGGCTTAACTAGCTAACCGGCCTTTTTTAAATAAAGCTAGTTATAATAAAATAGGCTATACTATATTTTTTAACTTATTATAGAGGGATATAATAATCTTAGGGTTAAGGATTTAGTAATATAAATTTAAAAAAAACGTTTTTAAAAACGTTACTAAGGGTATACCTCTTACTTATTAAAAGTAGCTAAATTTAATATTTTAAAATAGATCTTATAGTAATATAAGATACTTAGCTTAATTAAAATAGTATAATTTAGATTATAAGATCCGAGGGGGTCTAAGAATAGCCTCTTATTAAATAATATTACTTTTTTTATAAGCCGGCCTTACGTTCTAATTAAAGTAAGATATTTTAAAGAAAGTATTATTTAAAGTTTACCTAGGTACTTAAAATAAGTATTTATATACTCCTAGTTTATAAGTACCTCGTCCTCTATATAAGCTTAGTAAAAGTATAGTTCTTAATTACTAATTATATCTTATATAACGTCGATAAGCTAATATAAGTAACTAAAACTATTTAAAAAATAACCCTTAATATTATTATTACTTAACTTAGTATTAGAGGTAACGCGAGTACTAAAGTTTTAGTATTTTTAGATAAAATAACGGGCTTATTATGCTTTTAAAAGTAAGTATATTATATAGAGGTATTAGAAAATTAGGTATTAGTTATTAAACTTTTTATAAAGCTTAGTCTAGGTTTTTTTAAAAATATACTTAATCTTAGCGAAAATAATAAGCTTTTATATTATAAAGACCTTACGATACGTATAAGGGGGGGGCTTATTAATAAGTATATTAATATAGGCCTTATCCTTATTACTTAGCGTAGTTATTACTTATATTAATAACTAATATTTTTTATTATTAAACCTATTATTATTATTATTATAGCTACGGTCCTTAACTTATTTCTACTTAGCCCTAAGTATAATATTAAAGTTAATATAGTAAATATAGAGTTATTACTAAACGTCCGGGAACTACTCGTTTAGTATAGTTTTTATTTATTTATTATAATTTATAATAATAATAGTAAAGTAACGGACTAAGTATTAGTTTATAAGTTAGTAAATATTTATTAAGAGAAACCGGAAACCCTCTAGTTTCTTATTATTAATAAAACCGAATACGGCGTTATAAATAGATTTAAAGTAGGTCTATTTAGTAATTTAAAAAAGAGAGAGCTTAAAGCGATTAATATTATAAGTATTATTAAAGCTAATTACCTTAGGGAATCGCTTTTATATTTAGAAATAATAAAAAAAGGTCTAAATAAGGCTAATAAAGTAGTTTAGCTCGTCGTTTACTTATTTTACTATATATAAAATATCTCGCTTATTAAATAGCTTAATTAACGCTATAGTTAGCGAGTATCTAGCTAGTTTTTCTTAGTTTATATAAGCCCTAGTATTATAAATATTTTGCTACGTAAATAAGGACTTTAAAAACTACTTTTAAATAATAATACGTATATTATGAGCCCGAATCCTAACTTATTAGCTTATAATTTTAATAATATTTTTAATTATTTTAATAAGCTTATAATATAAAAAGTATATAGAGGCTTTAAAACTAGGGTTATAATTATATTATTTATACTAGAGGTTTAGATAATAACGTAATAACTACTTATCCTCCTCTTAAGCCTCGGTAATAATTTATTATTTATAACCGTATTTACGAAACTTACGTTATTAAATACTAATATTTTATATAGGCCTAGGCTCGCTAAATTAATTATATTAAAAAGTATATTAAATAATTCGGCCTCGAGCTTTATACTTATTCTACTTTATAATACTAAATTTATTAGCTCTTATAAAGTTATTAACTTAGTTAAAGAGGGTATTATAAGTTTATTTTAAATTGCTAAGAATTAATAAGTTCGGGATTTTAGTTATAAAAAGAGAGGAGGATTAGTTATTTAGAATATAATAAGAGGTTATAGTTTAAAAAAATACTTTGCTTTAAATAAAAAATAGTTATAAGGGTAAATAGGGTAATAAGTTAACTTAAAGACCTTATATTTATTATTATTAATAAATATATTTTTATTATCGGAGTAGTATTATTATTAGTTATTAATTAGTTTTAATAACCTATTTAATAAGTTAAAGAGTATTATTAAATTACTTTATTATAGGATAAGGAAGTTATTAAGACTATTTATTAAAGAGAGAGGGGTTATGCTCTAAAGAAAATCGTAAGAGGGTAGTCCGCTAAGTTTTCGTTATTCCTTTAGGGAAATAATAAGTAAAGTATAATATAAGCTTTATATTAAAATAATCGTTTATAAAAGGTTACGTATTTTATAATATACTAGCTAGGAGCTTAGTAATAAGGTTATGCTACTTTTTAAGATTACTAATTTTATAGAATTAGCTAATACTAAGGTAGTTATTTTTTAAAGAGGGAGATAATAGTAATTAGCTAAATAATAATAAGAGGCCGTAATTAATTAATAATCGTTCTTATAGAAAGGGAAGTTTCTTAATAAGGGTATTATTTTAAAATTAGCCTTAGGGAACGTTTTTAATTCTAATTATAAAAGCTATTATAAGTAAATATTATAAGTTAGATTTCGAGGCTTAATAATATAACCTAAGTATAAAGGGAGTAAAGGAATAAAGGCTAGGAATACTTTGTAAGTATTTAGTAGAATTTAACTATATTAATAAATTTTTTTTAAATTAATTAAAAAGTAGAATAGCGACGCTAGTATAAGAGCAATGCCGGTATATTAATTTATAATGCCGGTATATTAATTCTCTTATTAAAATAGTAAAAAGCTCTAAGAAATTTATATATAATACTAATAACTAAGGATTATAATAACTCTAAACTATACCTAAAGATTACTAAATATATATAAAACTATTTATAAAACTTAAAAAAATAGAATTACTAAAATATAATAACTAAAATATAAAAATCGAACTTAAAAAAAGAACGTAACTTAGGTTCTACTTAATATATTTAATAAACTAAAAAAAATAAGAGTACCTTAACGAATATATTAATAGAAGACTTAAAAAAGGATATATTTAACTATCGAATTCTCTTATAAAATTCCTTTTATTCTTTATATTAAAAAAGGGTAAAAAATTAAAACTTATTATTAACTATAAAAGACTTAATAAAATTATAAAAAGGAATTACTATTTTTTATTACTTATTACCGAACTTAGAGATCTACTTTATAAAGCTAACTAGTTTACTATTATAAATCTTAAAAAAGTATTTAATTAGATTTAAATTAAAAAAAAATAAGTAAAAAACGGTATTTTAAATTTATAAAGGACTTTTCGAGTACCTTATTATACCCTTCGGACTTATTAACGCTCTAATAACCTTTTAAATAATAATTAACTACGTACTCTAAAAATACATTAATATCTTTATTATTATTTATATTAATAATATCCTTATCTTCTCCCCTAATTTTAAAATATATAAAAAGTATATTTATATAATATTTTAAAAACTCTAAAATACTAAATTATATACTAAACCCTCTAAATACGAGTTCTATATATAAAAAATAGATTTTTTAAAATATATTATTATATTAAAATAAATCTATATATAAGTATTAAAAATAGAAATAGTTAGGGACTAGCTTATATTATAAAACGTTAAGGATATATAAAGATTCTTAAAATTCGTTAACTTTTATTAATAATTTTTTAAAAACTATATTAATATAATTAAACCTCTTAATAACTTAATATAAAAAGATACCCTATTCGTTTAGGACCCTAAGTATAAAAAAGTATTTATTAAAATTAAAAATATAGTCGTTTTTAAACTAATTATTATAATTTTAGACCCTTAAAAACTTTTTAAAATTAAAACCGATACTTTAAACTTTATTATAAGAGCAGTTCTAAGATAATAAAACGAATAAAAAAAACTTTATTTATATTATTTTTATTTTAAAACATTTTATAAAATAGAATTAAATTAGTAAATTTATAATAAAAAACTAATAATAATTATCGAAGTATTTTAAAAATAAAAACTATAGTTATTTAAAACTAAGTACGAAGTTATAGTTTATATAAACTATAAGAACTTTATAAACTTTATAATAAATAAGAATTTAAATAAATAATAAGTTAAATAGAGCGAATTCTTATTTAAATATAATTTCTAAATTATTTACTAAAAAAGTTTAGAAAATAGTAGGGTAGACGCTCTTAATAAAAGACCTAATTATAAAATTGCGGTCCCCGAAGAGATATAAGTTATTTTTAAATAAAAAAAAGATAGTAACTATATATTAATTACGAAGCTTTTTATAATAACTAAAAAGATTAATATTAACTTAATTAAAAAAATAACCTCTAAGCTTATTATAAAAATTTATAACGTATTAATATACGGTTATTAAAGAATTACTAAAATATAAAAACGAATTTACTAATATTATAATAAATCCGCTATATATATTAAAATTATAAAAATAATTAAAAACTATATAACTTATAAAAAAAAATAAAAATAGCTCGTATAAACTTTATAACGAGCTATAATTATTATAATTACTTATAAAAGCATAGTAATTAATTATATAGGACTTTATTATTAAACTATTAAAATCTAAAGAACTATTTACTAAAGTATAGTATAATAATATTTTAATTATAATTAACTAACTTACTAAGTTTATATACTTTATTTTTTATAAAGAATTTAGTACGATAAAAAACCTAGTATACGTATTTACTAAAGCTATATTTTTAAACTACGGTTTACTAAAAAAAATTATTTTTAATAAAAATAAGCTATTTATTTTGAAATTTTAAAAATCACTAATTTTATAACTTAGTATAGACTATAAACTATTAATAATATTTTATTTATAAACTAATAAATAAATAAAAAAGATTAACTAAATCCTTAAAATATACCTCCGTTATTATATAAACTACGACTAGGATAATTAAGTAGTACTTTTATTAATAGCTTAGTTTATATATAATAATATAATTAGTAAAAGTATAAAAGAATCCCCGTTCTATTTTAACTACGGATTCTAATTAATAATATATAAAAAAGTATAATAAAAACTATAAGCTATAAAAACTATAATAAATATAAGTAAACTTAAAGAAATCTATAAATAAATATTAATAAACTTCGAATTCGTATAATAGTATATAAAAAAAATATAGTTAAATTAAAAATTAGAAAACTATTTTTAAAAAAGGGGGATAGTACCTATCTCTTTTACTATAATATTAAAATAGAATAACTAAATAATAAATTAAATTATAAAAAACTTAAACCTTTTAGAATTATTAAAAAAGTCTAACTAGTTAATTATAAATTAAAATTATTAAATATAATATAATACTACTTTATTTTTTATATCTTATTACTCGAGCTTATATTAAGAGGTTTATATATAAAAGATTATATTATTATTAAACTAAACTAACTAAAATATAAAACTAAACGAATTATTAATTATAAAATAAAAAATAATAAAAAAAAATACCTTATTAAATAAAAAAACTACGGATATAAAAGAAATATATAAAAACCTATTATAAACTTTTAGAACTCTTAATAACTTCTCGAGGAGTATTAAAATTAAAATTAAACTTAAAACTCCTAGTTATTATAGCGTCTTAATTAATAATTTTAAAAGTATTATTAACTTATATTTTATAAACTAATAAAAAAGTATTTTTAGAATCTTTAAAAAACTTTTTTAATATAATCCGACTCTTTTTAAATACTATTCGTTTTTAAGAACGAAAACGTTTTAATTTAAATAATAACTTATTTAGCTTAGCTTAAGCTTATTAATAAACCTTAGCTTTTTTTTATAACTCCGTAGCTCTTTTTTAAAACTATAGCTTTTTTATTTTATTTTTATAATTAAAATAGTTAAACTCCGTTATTAACTAACTAATTATACTTAATTAGCTAGAACTTAGTAAATAAAAACGTAATATTTATAAATATAAATAGTATTAATAAACGTATTATACGAAATACTTAAATAATAGTATATTTTATAAACCTCGGAATTAAAAAGAACTAAATAATAGACCCCCCGCGAGTAATAATTTAAATAAAGTATTATTTTTATACTTTTATTAAAAAAACGAATAATATATAATAATTTATAATAAGACATAGCTATTAAAAATCTTAATTTTTTAATTTAACCTAATATCGTATTAGTACATTTTAAAAAAGAAAATACTTAATAATTCCCTAACTTAAAAATAAACGACCTATTTATAGGCCTAGAGGATTAGACTTTTAAAAAAAAGAGCTAAAGTTTTAACTTAATACGTATAATAAAACTAGGGTCCCGCCCTACAGGACCTATAATAACTACTATATTATATATATAAAAATATAAACTTAAAATAACTCCTCTTAAAATAGAAGAACTATAAATAAGTTACGTAACTACGATTATATAATAAAATAAAAAACGGATATTTATAAATAAATAAAACGGATAATTATAAATAAATAAAATAAATAACCGTTTAGTAAATAATTAAATAATAATAAATAGGAAGATTATAAAAGATATATGTATAAATAAGACTTATATATAATATAAACTTAAGCTGGGCTTAAAAATAAACTTTTTATAGCTTTTTTAATAATTAACTTAGTATTAAATCTTATAATTACTTTTAACTATTTTTATTAAGAACCTTTTTTAATAAAATTATAATTAATTACTAAAGCCTTATTTACTTTACGACTTATAAATATAGTTTTAGAAAAGCTATTTATAATTATAATACTATTTATTTAGTCCTCGTAGCCTTAACTTTTATTAATATACTTATTATAACTAACTAGTTATAATATTATTATAATAAGTTAAGGCGTTTTATATATTTATATTATTTTTTTAATAATAAATTTAACGCATTAAGTTAGCGAGATACTTATAATAAGTATTAAAAGGGTAGAAGTTAAGAAGTTAAGTAGTTAATTAATAAAAAGAGGTTATAAAAATAGGGTTACGTAACTCTTACTAAGCTAACCGGGCCCTTACCGAGCTAATATACCTCTATTACTACTACTTATAAGTATATATTTATATTTTTATTATTAATTTATTTACTTATTATTACTTAGGCCGTTTATTAATTTTATTCTTTTAATTATTAAAAACGTATAGGGTATAAAGGACTCTCGCAGTGCGGTACTTTAGAAGAACTACTAATACTTATAAAAGTAATATTAAATACCTCTTTTAATTGGGTTAATACGGCCTTAATTAACGGAGTTATGACTAAAAGGAAAAGAATAATATTAGCTAGATTAGAAAAGTAAACTTCTTAATCGTTTTATATTATTATATTTAAAAATAAATTATTAAAAAGGCTCTAGTTTAATTTTAAAAAGTATATATATAATTAAAATAAAAATCCGTACTATTAAACTCGCTATTTTTAATTAGAGCTTTTTTTTTTATATTTTATTTTAATTAGCCCTCTTATAAATATTTATACTTAATTAGCTTTAAAAAAGAATTATTAAAACTAATTACCCTACTCTATTCTAATTATTCCCTAATTTCTTTTTTTCTAATTTTTTATAAAAAAAAATTATTTTAAATTAGTTTTAATTACTATATATAATTAATTATATTAAGCCCTCTATTTACTTTCTTTTTTTATAATTACTTTTTTTATTTTTTTTACTTTTTTTATTAGCTTTATTTAGTTCTTATCCTATTCCTCCTTAATAATTTCCTAATCCTAACCTTTATTACCCTAGTTCTTTTTAGCTTTTTTTATTAATAATAATATTTAAAAAGTATAAGCTAAAGTTATATATATAGCTTTTACGATTAGGTTATTATATTAATTAACTTATTATTTTTTTATATTTTTATTAATATTAACTTTAGTTTTATATATATTACGATATTATAAAAGGTTTTAATAAAACTTAGTTAGTTCTTAACGCTAATATTTATTATTTTTTTATACGGCCCGATTATACTTAAAGAGCGTACGTTTAATAACCTTTTATTTTAACTAAACCCTTAGTATTTTAATTAGAGTTTTTATAATAGGGCTATTTTTATTCCTAATTAAAATATTTAAAAAACTACTTTTTTAATTACTTAAACTAGCTTTATTAAAAGCCGGGCTAAAGTATAATAATAATTTAAGTAGCGATATATTTAATAAGGACTACGTAATTTAACGGGTCTTAGGGATATTAATTAAGTATATAAATTAATTATTAATAATAGTATTTAAATACTAGTTAATAACTTTTATTAGTTTAATTACTTATAGAGTCCGATTAAGGCTATTATTTATTAAGGATCCCTAAGTATTTTTTAGTATTTTTAAGGATTGAGATAATAAAAACGACTTTTTAAGGATAATAAGCCCTTATTTAAAGCTATTAATTATTCCTTTTATTTTTTTAAAATATATAAGATCGATTAGAGTATAATAGCTATAATTATAAAAGTTATAAATTTTTAAATCCTAGTTAGTAAATTTAAAGCTAAGTAAATAAGAACCGGACTTTTAAAAAGTTAGTATTTTAAGGGCGTTAATTATAACGTAATTAGAATTATTTAAATTAATATAGGGCTTATTTTTAGAGTCCCGATTATATATTATTTTTTTAAAAAACCTACTTAAGGGAGGTCTTATTATATTAAAAAAGTAATTACTATTATATTAAAACTTATAATTAATTTATTAAGTTTAAGCCGTGTAAAGCTTATTATTAAATAGTTTAAAATATTTATAAGTTATTTAATATAAATTATAAATTAAATTAAACTAACTATATTAAACTATATTATAAAACTACTTAAGTATATATAAACTATATTCTTATTTATTTAGTTATTATACTATAAGGATTACATAAACGTTTATATTAATTAATTATTAAATATAAAGAGGTATATTAATTTAATTATAAAAAGCCTTTAGTACTTAGATATTATTAATAAATATTCTTTTTAAATACTTAAAAGCTTATTTTAAATCGTATTAATAAACTATATTATTTTATTAATTAATAATTATTCTTATAAAATAGCCTAAATCGTTAGCGTAAAAAAGAAAATTACTAAATATATTAAAATTCTAATTTTATATATAGTTTTTTAGGTTTAAGGGTTTAGGGTAGGGGTCTTATTTAGTTTAAAAATACTCTTTTATCTTTTTTTAATTATAATTATATTACGTACTAAAGCGAGGTTTTATATTATAACCTTTATTATAAATCCGATCTTATATTTTCGAATTTAATTTTTACGTAATAAGCGTTTTTAAAAATTATAGTAATTAGTTAGGACTTCTATTATTTTATAATAGTTCTAATTTATTTAAGTTTTTTAGTTTTTTAAACCCTTAAAAGCCTCGGGGTATTAATTAAAAAAGGGAAGTACGTTTTTTATACCGAGCTAATTAGAATAATTAAATTCGGGAGGGGTTAGGATTATTTAAAAAAAGCTAGTTTATTTAAGTACTAAGTTTAAATAATAGTTAGTATATATTTTATATTAATAGTTCGTATTAAAATTAACGAACTAAGAGTTTTTAATATCTATAATAATTTTAAGGTTAGTCTTATTAAAAGTAATATATCTATTTAGATCCTATTTTTTTAATTAGTATTTAGTATCGTTTTCGAAGCTTTTTATTATAATTAGACCCTAAATTCGCGCTACGTTCTTTTTATTATTTAGTTTAAAAAAAGAAATAAGAAGTAAAGAGGTTATTATAAATAGCTAGGTTAGTATTTATATAATAAATTAAAAAATAAAAATTAGGGGAGGTTT